ACACACACACACACACACACACACACACGCTTGGGGGTGAGAGAGAGATGCTAATCTGTCTGCTGGCAAAATAAAACAACTTTTAACTTTTAATTTATCTCTTTCTTCTTTTTTTTTTTTTTAGACAGCTTAATTGAGATATAATTTACATACCATAAAATTCAATCGTTTAAGTGTGTCATGCAATGGTTTTCAATTTATTTACCAAGTCGTGTATTGGCTGTTTCTTTTTGAAAATGGAGCCACCGGGTGAACGTTCTGACCCCTGGCACACCCTCCGCGCTTTGAAAGGTGACATCTAAATAGCAGAGAGCAGATTCTGTTTCACCCCCCCCCCAAAATAGTTGTCTTTTTCATTACGCCATTTACAACTTACTTCCTGTGTTTTCATTCTGAGCTGCTCAGGGCCTGCTGCTTAGAAGCTATGTTGATTAGTTTTTACGCCGTCAAGAAGTTGCTTTTGTGTTGGAGGAGTTTTCTGTTTGTTTGCTTTTCTTGGTGTTTAGTTAGAGCTCTCAGGTCTTTGCTTTAGCTGCAGAGCTAATTATAGAGACTTGAAAAGTATCTTTGTGGCATGGAGACTGTACAGAAATATTTGGTTTTTAGAACTAAGCTTAAACGCTCATAGCATTCTGACTTTTGAGATTGATAAAAAGGAAGATACTTAGACATTTCAATAGGGCACAGAGCCCTAGAACTTTTTCCTGATATTAAAATCTTAATGTATATCTTGGCTGTGACTTCTCTTGAGTCTCTATTTCCTCGTTTGACGAGCAGGAATTAAAATAACCACCCCTGGAGATTTGCCTGAGGATTGCATGAGATAATTCGTGTGAGAACACCTAGAACACAATCAAATCTTTTTAAATGTATAAATGTACATTGAATATGCATCTTAAAGAAATTCACTAATGGTATAAGAATTCTATTTCTGGCAAGGTATATTAAAAAAAAAAAGCAGAGTGCAGGCTGTTAGAGAAATATGTACTGGTTTAACCTTTCAGTCACCAATAAGTAATGAGGCTTGCCGTGTGCCAGGCACTGGGGATTGAATGGTGGATATAGTTGTACAAATAAATATCTAAGTACAAACTGTGCAAAGGTGGTGGCAGAAACTCTTCTGGGTGTGTGTGTGTGTGTGTGTGTGTGTGTGCATGTGTGCGTGTGTTTAAAACAAGTTAAAAGAATGTATATTTTGCTAGTAAATTTATGTGTATAGACATAGAAAAAATTTCGGGAATAACTGGTTACAAGGGTTTCTTTTTGTGAAAGAAACCAGAAAAGTCCACAGGAGAATGTCTTCTACTTTTTGTGCCATAATATTCTACAGCATTTGATATCAGCAGGGCTTCTCTGAGAGTCCGTTTGTATTTTCTTCATTAGACTTTTCTCTATTAAAAAACAAACGCCATTATTTAAGATGAATACAGCGTTAACGGCTTGCAATATTTAACTCATCATGCCAAACCAGTTAAATGGTAAATATAAGATTATTACACCTAAAAAGAAAAGGTCATTTATATAAGCGCAAGAATTCATCAGCCCACACCAAATTATTACCAGCCCACTGGTACCCACAGAGTTTGCCCAGACAATAACACTTTCATTCAGTAGATATTTATTGAGCTCCTACTGTGTATCGCACATTGTTTTGAGTGCTGGTAGATAAAACAAAGCCTTCAGGAGTCACGGCATAAATTCTAGTTGTAGGAAACAGACAATAAATAAGTAAACCAAATATATAATACATATTCTATAGTAATATATAGTAATCTAAGGCTATGAAGAAGAATTTAAGCATGGCTGGGAGCTGAGTGACCAGGGGAGATGGATGTGCTTTTTCTTTGTTATATAGGATACATTTTGCAGTGGCATCCACTATAGAAAGCAATCAGGAGGCCTGCCTGAGGAGGCGTCATTTTAGCAGCAACGTAGATAAAGGGAAGGATGGAATGAGCCATGCAGATAAATGAGGGAAGAATGTTCTCTGCCGGAAAGACCAGTAAAGTCTTTGAAATGGGACAGCTGGAAACCAGTAAAGCTTAGCAGTGAGCCCACGACCATTATATTAGTCTGTCCACTTGTCATAGTGTTCAAACATTTCATAATTTAAAACTTACTTTTAAAAAAGTAAAAATTAAACACTGATAGCTTTATTATCTTTGTGTATTCAGGAATCTGTTTACTTGGTTCTGGGCATTGCTTCTTTTTGAGATATTTAATAAAAATAGTCAATGTGAGCGATATATACTAGAAAAACAAAGATATATATAGCGAAATAGTTTTAAACTTCTGATAGCCATATTCGTTCACAGTCATTACAATATACTTTTCCCCATTATCCTGAGAGTGTCACATGGAATATATATGTATTATATTATTACCATTTTTGCATGCACGTATATTATTAATGCCCATTTTTATGCACTGAAAATTAAAATAGTAAATATGATCCCAAGGTTGTAAGGAAAAGGAGTCTGGGACATGTTGTTTGCAGCCTACTCTAGCTGCTTACCAGTAGGAGGGGGACTGTGATAAGGGAATGTGATCAGGTACTACTTAAAATCACAAGAAAAAACTGATAAAAACAAAAAACGATCACGAATCTTTGCTCACTGTCTGATCATGCGTCTCGGAAGTCGCTCCCCACCGTGGTGCTCAGCTGTGACATGAAGGACCGGCTAATAAGTTATCTGTAAGTTCTCCGATTCATTCTCTCTCCCTCTGTCTCATAGTTTCGGTTCCAACCCTAAGAATTCTGATTCGACTAACTGCTTCGTAACCAGTCATTTTCACTACAACTGGCTGAGTGCTAATTTAATCTTCTCTTCCTTCTTCAAATAGGACCCTGCGGGTAGTTGATCCAGAACATAGTTCCCAACCAGAGGTGGTCCAACCTCCTCGCCCCCACCTTCCAGGGGACAGTTAATGGCACTGGACACAATTTTGCTGGTCATGACTATGGCAGAAGTGGGTAGGAGTTAGGGATGCTGGCGAACACCCTGCAAGGCACAGGACAGCCCCCCACAATGAAGAATGATCCAGTCCAAACATCAATAGCGCCGAAGATGAGAAATTGGAATCTAGAGAAATTGGAATCAACGAAGAAGGGAGAAAATGAGCAAAGGGCATTGTTTACTTACGTCTGTGTGGTATGTCCCGCCTAAGAAATGACACTACGACTTTTGTCTTTGTCAACGCTGTTTCTCTTCTATTGATTACTCTTTATCATTTGTGAAGACTTGGGTGTGGGGCTTAAATAACCCCATGTCAGACCCAAGCACAATGGGACAAACGAAGACTTGAGGGCAAACGAAACCATGCGCCATAACTGTAAGAGTATTCTTTGTTGCAAGACTTAGAAAAAGTCTTTAGATCCTTGGTTGAATTTAATCAGCAATTCGGTCATCTGCATATGACTTCGAGCAGCAAAGTAAAATTTTCCCGAGTCTTTTGTTTCCAAATCAATGGGCAACAAAGGTTATCCCCGCTCCATTCAAGCAATTTCAATGATTCTCAGATAAACGTGGGAGCAGTGGTCGAGCCATTTAAAATATACGGTGACAAAAAAGCATACTTATTAACCTTGTAAACATCCTATAAAAGTACAAAGGAAACTTTATGAAGACTATCCAAGTGTCCTTTTTATATAATAATAGCTTTTGTCCTTTGAAATGTTCACATGTCTATAAAATTGAATTGAACAGAACATCCTAGAAGAATGTCATTTCCAAGTCTTCTAGCAATGGAGCTGTTCAAACAGTACTTTTCAGTTTCTTAACGTTCAGAAAATCGCTTCCTCACACCAAGATCAGTGCAGCTCACAAAAAGCACTTTGAACACATGTATAACCAACTATCAAAAGGGATTCAAAACAAGGCTAATTGAACACTGAGTTTTTGAAGTTCTCAAATGACGATCCCAGGTTTTTTCTTGAAAACACCAACAGCGTCAGCTTGGCAGGAAGCGGGAATTAGACAAGAAAATTGATTGAGATCCACCTCCAAATTGGAGGAAAAAATGTCCAATAAGAAACCGAGGTTTGAAATCACCGTATGTTATATTATCCATCATCCAGATGGCCTCCAGCATTACTGCTTGGCGTGTGAGCTGCCAGCCGCTCCCCGAGAAATGTACCTGAGCGAGGGGAATGCGGCCTTTCCCAGGAAAAGCAAGCCTCTCATCTCTCCACCCACCTCTCTTTCCATCTCTCCGCTCGGTCTGCATGATTTGCAACCCGCTTCTGTGTTCCCAAAGCCAGTGAAACTGCGGTCTCCACTAAGGGGACTGAGGCCAAATACAGTCACTGCTTCACTGTATCTTTCTCTTTCTGAACCCTTCGAACCACTGATTTCCAATTTCTCTTTAATATACCGAGTGCAGGGAGGCAAAGGCAAGCTGGAAAACCACACGGGGGAGATTTCGCCAAGAAAAGAGCAGTCTAAATCCTTAGGCCTCACTCCAGCCTACAAAGACGAAGTGGCAGGAAACTACCAGAGATAATCGAATGAGCTCAGAGCCGGTTTTTTTTTTTTTTTCCTTTTTTTTTAAAGGTGGGGGTGAGTACGAATCTGGGAATTCTGCCCAGGAAAACCCAGTGAGAGAGAGAATTTCACCTCTAAAATCCCTGACGTTTGTTGCCAGTGATTCAGTACATACCCGACAAAAAAAAAAGTTGTCTAGCTGGTCCTGCTGCTTCTGCTGGCTACTATGGAAAGAAGTCAACAGAACCTTATCGGGTTCAGTTACGGCTGACTTGGACATTATTTTCAAGTAAATATTTATCATTTCAATGTTATTCCATTGCTGCCACTGCTGGCTTTGTGTTGGATTGACTGACACATTGTCTTGGAGGAAGCCGACTCCATAGCAACAAGCCGGAGAGGGCTGTGCTGCCACTGAGCTGTCCTTTCTGTGGCCACTGGGAGGGGGATGGGGGAGTACCTGGCGACTGTGGCCCGCTGGGGCTTTGCTGTTATCCTGTCACATTGCAGCTAAATTGAGAAACGTTCCTCCTTTGGCCACTGGGCTCCTCCAGTGGTGTTTACTGATCACTGCGCATCTCAATGAATTCGACACACACACCAGCATTTTTCTTCCTTCTCTCTTCATTCAGGAAGTGGCCAGCCAAGCCCTGAGATTCTTTCTGCTCGGCTGATATAAACAAATTGCAGAGGAAGTCAAGTCAAACTTTCCCTTGCTTCTTTTGTTCTCCCAACTAGTAATTCAGAAAACGGAGCCAACTTTTCTTTTTTTTTTGGATGCCTTTTAAAGATTGCTCTTAACGGGAAAGGCAGAAACCCTCCTGTTTGTTTGGTTTTTTCCCTTAAACACAGATACTCCTAAACTGTTTTTTTTTCCAAACCTGCAGAAATGCCCTGGAAAGTTTTTTGTTTTTTTTTTTTAAAGTTGCTATTTAAGACTTTTCAAACCAAATTGTTCCCTTGACATTGCACAGTTACCTGATTGTTTTTCCCTTTGAATTTCAACCAGGAGAGCAATAAGGAGCTTTGCAGGGACAGTGCTCTGAAGCCCTAATCCACAGCCAAGGAGAACTAAGAGTCCCAATTCAATAAGGGTGACAATACAAGGCGTGCACCAGAGAGGAGACATCATATCTGTGTCATCTACAGATACTGCTCGAAAAATCATACATAATTAAGCCCTTCTCACAGTGGAGGCTACTTGAAGCTTTATCACCAGCTGGTAAGATTTCATCTCTGGATTTTACCAGTGGCCTCGAGAGTGAACGTTTTCCACCAGAGGTACCTGATGATCTGGGCGACACGCTTACCGCACCTGTTCTAGTCATCTAATAAAAGATGCTCTGCACTAAAAAAGGAAAGGAAAACAGAATGGAGGTGTATAACAAATATTTGTAGGGTGTCCCCGAGGTGGCTTCCCAGATGAGAGGTTCTGTTCTATTAATCCTGGTGCAACAAATAAAGAAGATGTGACAGGCACATGGACGTCTGCGTGCCCACCTTGCTTGTCTTCAGTTGGCCCTCTCTGGAAGCAGGTGGGTACCACTTTGAAGACAGCCCTATTTTCTAGTGAGGCATGTTAGGGTTCAAGTATAGCCTCAAGCTACTTACTGAGTCTCTGTATTCCCTTCCGTAAATTGAGGATGCACTGTAACATGGCAGTACTGTTTATATAGGTTAGTAACAATATGTATGGAGAGAGAGAGAGAGATAAAGAAATACATCTCACATCTAACCCAATGTGTGGCGTATGTCAGGTTCTCGATTAAAAGGTAGTTATTATTAAAATTCAGAATGCCGTGTGACTTCCGGGTCAGGAAAAACTAACATTGATAGAATGTGAACTTTATAGTATTTGCAAAGTGACTCTATGTCAGAACATGTTTACTCAGTCTTGATCGTCTCCCTCTTTATCTATAAATACATATACACTGTAGATATTTATAAACCAAAGATATATAAGATCATCTATGCAAGTTGTATTTGTGTGTTACTGAATAAACAGTGGATGAAAGGAAAATGTGAAGTTCTGAGACCTGGCTTCAATTCACATTTTCTCTTATATTCCTTAAACTGTTTATTTACTCGTCTTCATTCTCCTCGCTGTTGACTATTTTCCAGGCGTGTATTTCTCTTGAACAACAGCAGATGAGAAGATGATTTAATGTGCATTGCGGGAGAGACAGAGAGACAAACAGAAAACCCAGGGGCAGTGACTTGCTTGGAGGCCTCCAAGGTATGCAGGTCAGTGTTAGATGCTGTGTGCACCTCCACACCCCATAACGAGTTTGGAAGCTTTGATGTCAAAAACATGCAGTACCTACAATGTTCCTGAATTTGTGTCAAGCAAATTAAGCTATCATGCATTGATGCAATTACAGTACATTTATAGAATTCAACAATCCCGTTCAATAAACTTTATCAAATACCTACTGGGTGCCAGGCACTAGGATACAAAAAAGATTAGTCATCAGAGCTGGCTTGCCCAATATGAAAACTAGACACACACTGGAAGTACCAGAAAAGCAGGGACATTCCCACAACCCCTTCTTGCCTACCAAAGAAACCAACCAGGAAATTCAGAAGAGTTATTTTTAATTTCAACGTACACATATGTTTCTGTGTCTTTAAAAAAAAAAAAAGATATTTCATTTTAGTTTGCTTTTGATTTTATTTTTTTAATTGGGTACAGACCCTGAGATAGTGTGTATTATAGTTCAGAAAATACTCCTCCCCTGCTCCTACTTTGGGTGGAATACACTCCCCATCTCGACTGATGCTGGACCTGGTCACGTGCCTTTGATGGCTAAGAGGCTGCTGGCAAGCAGCGTGCAAGCCGAGCTTTGAAATGTGTTTGCACGGCAGGTCTTGCTCTTCTGCCCTTTCGATATTTCTGTGAGAAGCACATGCCTGCTCATCCAAGGAGGATGAAAGACACCTAGAATGGACCTGGGCACAACCCACAACTTGAAGCCCAGCCCAACACAGTCTAGACCATCTGAAAACCAGCCAATGTGCAGATGCTTCCATGAGATTAAATAATTACTGTTTTAAGCCACTGAGTTTGGGCGATTTGTTACATGGCATTATTATGACAATAGCTGCCTGATGTAGGCCCCATAATATTTATAGGTCTTAATCTGGCCATGCGCCTACCAATACAGATACTAAAATAGGGAGGAAAGCAAATTTAATTTTTAAAAAATGCTTCAAATTCTTGCCTTACTGATTTGACTTTGTTATGTAAATCAAGGTCAATTATAGCCTTTCATGCACTAAATGAAACTTGGGTCTCATGATATTTAAATGAAGCAGTATATGTTTAAAGAATAAGAGGTATAACTTATTCAGCACTAGATAAAGCTTTCATTCCACAAAGTGCTTCATTCCAAAAACACGTGTTCGCTTAAAGAGATACTAGTTATGCTCTTTTGAGTAAGACCTTGCAGATACGATATTGAGTGTTAATAACTAACCTTGATCAATCATTCATTACCAGAGACCAGATGCTGTTCTTAGTGTTTTATCTACACCGACTTCTTGAATCCTCAAAACTTAATGTGCTGGTTACTATGACTGTCCCCATTTTACAGATGAGAAAAGTGAGGAGCCAAGAGGCTAAGTGACCTACCCAAGCTTCCACAATTTGTAAGGGACACAGCTGGGATCTGGGCCTACGCCGTCTGGTTTCAGAGCTCACACTCTTAACCCACCATGCTCAGAGGGAGACATGCTGAGTCTTTCTTGACAGGAAATTTACAAAGTAAAAGGGGCAGCAGCTTTGAATAAGAAGACGAATCAATCGTTTCAAACCATGGGCTGGGCCATGATTGAAAAGAACAGGAAATAACGGTTAAAAATAATAGAGAAGACCTGGACTCGTTTGAGACAAGTGGCCAGAGACGCCTTCTCTAGTTAGGTGAGATTGTCTCAAGGATAAATATGATCAGACAAAAATATGGCTGGGAAAGAGAAAAATGGCCTGCACAGAAAGAACAGCAGGGAGAATGGTCTCGAAGAGATGCAGCTCAGTGTGTGTTTAGGGACTGAAAAATGGTCATTGCTTCAGTGAAGCCGAAAGGGTACCTTACCCATTGCTTCAGGACAGTGGTTGGTCGACAGATTTTCTGTAAAGTGTCCAACGGTAAATATTTCAGGCTTTGTAGGCCATGTGGTCTCTGTCACAATTTACTCAAGTCTGACACTGTATGACAACAAAAGCAGCCATACACAATAAGTAAACAGAAGAGTATGTTAAAGGTCTAATAAAATGGCATGTATGGACACTGAAACTTAAATCTCAGTGTGACGATCCCACAAATAGCAAGTCTATGTGTGAAGACACACAGGCTGTTCACATTTAGTGCATTTCCAATGTATCAGGTAACTACATACATTTGATGCATCTTGATCTTGGGACAACAGTGAGTTCTCTGTTGAAATACAGCACAGATCATACCAATAAAAGTAAAAAAGAATTTTGAATGAAAGTAATGACCAAGGAACTGAGTTATGTAATCATCATATTAATCAGGATTCCCTAGAAAAAATAGAATGAATAGGATGTTTATGTATGGAAAGAGATTTATTGTAAGGGAATTGGTTCGTGCAATTATGGATGCCGACGAGTTCCACGATCTACCATCTGTAAGCTGCAGGGAGACCCTGGGGTGTCATTCATTCAGTCTAAGTTCAAAGGTTTGAGAACCAGGAGCGCAGAGGGCAGGAAAAGGTCCGTGTTCTAGCTCAGTCAAGCAGGAAGGGCCAGGTTCTACCTTCCTCTGCCTTTTTGTTCTATTTAGGCCCTCGACAGACAGGACAGAGCCCACTCACACCAGGGATCAGAGTCCGCTGATTCCAACGTGAATCTCATTGGGAAACGTCCTCACAGACACAACCAGAAATAACATCTAACCAATTTCTGGTCAACCGTGATTTAGTCAAGTGGACACATAAAATTAACCATTACGATTAATCTAATCTGATCAATGAGGAGGAGTAAATAAGATGACTGCCCAGGAAAGAGAAGTAATGTTCTTGCTCAAGTGTTGGCATTGGTAAAAATTACATAAAACGCACGCTTCATCTTTACAAAGAGGAAAGCAACACCCATATGGCTGATGGGTGTCATCGTTCACAGCATATTTACGGTTCATCGCCGTCCAAGAAAACTTGAATTGCCTGAAATCTTAGAGGTCCTGTATGAAAAAAATTTGACAGATGTTTTCCCAAATTTGACACAATACTAAAAATTTACACCTCCTAATGAGTAGTAGAGTCAAAAGAAACTTTTCTAAATTGACAGTAATAAACTTATTTATCCATCCTCATGGCAGAGAGACCGAATTCTCTTTCTAGGAGACTCTCTAGAGAAAATGGTAATCCAAAATCATTGTCATATTAACAGGCCATCATAAAGTACGTGGCCAAAATATATAGTAAAAGTGTATTATAGGAAAAGTCAGGTAGTTAGTTAATTTTATAAAAAAGATGTTATTTGGGGGGATTTTTTGATGTTTGTGATATTTTTCAGCTTTTAAAATTGTATAACTCATAGTATTTTTTCTTTTATTCTATATAAATATTTACTTTCATAATTTATCTTGTATTATTTTTCTTAAGGAAAGCCCCCAAATTGTAAAACCTTCGAGGCCTAATAACCTGGAAGCAGTTCTGATTAGGTACCCACTATGCGAGCCAAGCACATCTGGATGCTAGAAACGTAACATCGAACTGAAAAGACCAGTAGTGGTTTTAAAATATATCCACAAATTCTTTGACACTACCCCCTTCCAAAGGCAGAGGCTATTATTTCCTCTCCCTCTGAGTGTAGGCTGGACCTAGTGACTTGTTTCTAAGGAGTAGAATGTTATGCAAATGACAGCGGGTGACATCCAAGAGTAGTCATAGAACAAATTGCCCTCTCCTTCCTATTCTTTCGCTCTGGAAGCCAGCTGCCAGTTCCTGAGAACATTCAAGCAGCATTCTGGAAAGATCCACATGGTGAGGAACTGAGGCCTCCAGCCAAGAAGCCATGTGAGTGCACCATCTTGGAAGCAGAGCCTCGAGTCAAAGCAGAGCCTCGAAGGGGTCGGCAGCCTCCGTCATCATCTCGACTCTATCGTGACTACTTAGGAGAGTGTGACACGGAGCCAGAACCATCCATTCAAACTGCAATCAGTGATTTCTGACCCCGGAAACTGTCGTGAGATAAGGTATGTTTATTTTAAGCTGCTAAGCTTTGGGGTAATTTGTACACAGCAAGAGATAAATGACATACCAACAAAAGTCCTGGCTTTGTGACACTTACTTTCTGATATTTGTTTCACAGGAATTTAATAAAGGATTTCTTTTTGAGAAACTGATAAATGAGTAAATGAAAGAAGTGTATCAATTATTATTATCCATTCATTCATTTATCAAATACTTATAAAATGGATATCATGAACATTTAAACTTTTACTCTGTGAAAGACACTGGTAAGAGAACAAGACAAGCCACAAACCAGAGGAAATATTTGCAAACATATCTGACAAAGGATTTGTATACAGGACATGATTTTTTTGAAACTTTTAAAATTCAGTAAGAAAACGAGCCACTCAATATTTTTAAAAGAGCAAAAGAATTGAACAGATACAAATAAGAAAATATACATTGATGACCAATAAGCAAATGAGACGTTCAAAATCTTTAGCCAACACAGTAAAATACCACTACAAACCTATTAGAGTGGCTACAGTTTTTAAAAAACGGACATATCGAATGCTAGCTTTCATAGAGTTCTTGTGAGAATCAAATAAAATAATGTGTGTGTGATACTCGGTGCATAATTTGTCCACAGTATGTGTATGATCAGAAATTTCAGAAGAAAATTAAGACCCGGTGCTTTGGATGAAGTCCTAGAAAAAAGAGAGAGGGACTAAAATTTTAATAAAATAGCAACATATAGGAGTTTGCCTCGAAAGAACTGATTTCTTTTCCTAAAAATTTCAACCATTACCGAGTCATCTGCCTTTTTACAGGACCAGGAGGACGGTGTAAAAATGATATCACATTGACACAGACTCTCACATGACTAGCCCCCGTCATATGTGTGGCTCAGAGGAGTCAGTAGCTTGCCCAAGGCCTCACAGCGAGTGAATGGCAGAGCCAGCAGTCAGTCCCAAGATATCTGTCTCTTCCTACAAAATACAGCTTTCCAAACTTGGAAGAAGAAGAAGCCAAGAGGGTGATTGATGTTGCTACCTCAGGGGAAATGTCCTAGTTTGACCTGCTTACGGCACACATGACCCCCACCACCACCACCACCACGGCCGGCACTCTGAGGTCTCTCCAATTTTACAGTCTTATATCAGGTGCCTGCCCTCTCCCACCCCATTATATTAGTGTCAGCCAACATGTTTTTCATTTGCCTCCCTAAGGAACATTTTAAGACATTTTTTTTTTCTAATTACCCGCCCCCACCATGAAATGTTCTTACCATGAATATACTATAATTCTGTTTATGTGCTACACACATATGTGTGCCTTGTCTATAAAAAGACTAAGATTTCTTTTCAGCCCTTCTCCCCTCCAAGAAGCAGTTTGACGCCCTTGAGGGCAGTTCCGTGCCCCTCGGGAACAGGGTCAAGGGGCGTGGCGAACGCAGCCGCGTGGCGTGAACGTGAACGGGGCTCAGTCGGTGCCCGACGGCGATGTGAGAGGGCCACTGGCACTGACTCATCTCGCCCCGATCGCCTGGTTCCCAGGCTCCGTCCAGAATCGGGAAGCTGCGGAACGCCACCGGCCCCTTCTTGAAATGGAACACTCTCTCCAACTTCCACTTTGCTCTTCCCCAATCTCTCGCCATCTCTGTCCGCTCGCAGGCCCAATGCAGAAGTGATTCTAGGAAAGCAAACGCCACGGGATGCTGCTGGCCTGTCTTCCAGGACGCAAGATTCCTCCCAGTCGCCCCGAATTCTACTTCCCCAGTTTCTTCAACTTGTTCTAAATTGTCTCTGTAATGTCGTCACGGTCTTTCTCAGCCTGTTTCCAGAGTAGCATTTAGACTTCGAAAATGTACTAAACCAGCCTTTTTCTAGAAATGAATTACAGCTGGACTTCATTAAGAACCGAGCTGGATTCTTTTCGAGCATTATCCATATTTCATTTGGGTAACAGCTGTCACGTGACAGGTGAGAAAATGGAGGCTCAAAGAACTTAGTGAATTCGCCCCAGGTTACACCAGGAGAAGTGGGGGGCCAGCCCGGGCTGCCGATCCGGGACAGACTGGCTCCAAGAGTATGTTGGAAACCACATTCAGAAGCCACCACTTAATTTTAGTGTCTCTCATCTCTCAGAGTGGGAGGAAACAGAAGTTGGAGATTTTCAAAGGGGGCAGGGCTATCTTTGTGTTTTATGTAAGGTTATTCTCTCAGCCACAAAAGGTGCTGAGTAGTATATAGACTTTTTTTTTTAATAGACTTATTTTTAGTGCTGCGTCTGATAACCGATTAAGATTTACTGCCCGGCCATTTACTTTCCTGCTTTTAACGATTCTACCACTCAATGATGACATTTTAAAATGGTTCCTTCAAGGGGAAAACTTCCCAGTGAAGACAAGACTCCAAGGAGGAAAACTTGTATATTTGGCCAGATGGGCCCAGAATCTTTGGAGAGACTTGGATAAAGACTAGTGTCTTTCTCCATCGCCCAGATTTTCATTCCACATAACGTTCCTCAGCTCGGTTTGCCTTGTGTTAACCTTGAACAGCTTCCTGTGTTCTTGCAGAGTCAAGTGAGCATTCTTTCAGTTTCTTTTCATTGTTAAGGAAAGAGAAAACTTGGCTTCTTTGATGATCTAGAATGGTTTTTTTTTTTCTTTCTATTATGTATAAAATAACTGGGACTATGCCTCCTGCTGCACTTTATACGAATGGCCTCGAATTCCCAACACAGCATCTGGTAAATGTCCCAACATCCAGTTTCTGGATAAGAAAAGGAAGCTCAGGGAAGTGAAGTCCCCAGCCTGGCCACACGTGACTGGATATTGCGAGAAGCAGGATTCAAGTTTGCCTTTCGCTTTTCAGTAAAACCATTTTCTCACATGTGGCCAACACATCGGTCAAAATTTTCCCTTTTAAGCATCTTTTAGACTTCCAGCAGAAGTCTAAAATTTCCATTTCTAACTCAATAAATGCAAAAAAAAAAAAAAAATTCCTTTACTTGACATTTCCGGTTGATTACTTTTTTGGTTCTCAAAACGGGCGGGCAGACTTCCAGTTTCTAGCCTTGCATGTAAGGCGCTTAGAAGCCTCCACTTTATCCTAGCAACAAGGAAAAAAGCTGAACAAACTGGAAAAATTAACAACCCTTCTTAGATCTGTGAGAGATGGGACGTCCAGGGCAAAGCTCTGGCCCCCAGATTGGAGAGACAGACAGGTAAATAGAGAGCATCACAAATTTCCAGAACATCAACCTCTGTGGGAACTGGTGCCGGGGCAGAAAAGCCTGACCTGAAATGGATGAATCGGTTGAGGGTCAGTGTGGACAGATTTGAGAGTCTAAAACTCCAGAGGGGCCCAGGCGTACGGGGTCCCCACACTTTTGTGAGTTTTACCTCCAGGAGCCTGACCAGGTCCTCACAGCATCAGAGAAAAGTCCCCTGTGCTGCCAGCAGGGGGCAGAGAAAAGGCACCATTTCAGAATAGGCCAGAGCACTCTCTTTTTCCTAAAAAGGCCTGCCCTTAGGGAAAACCAGAGCCTAACCTGCTGGATTATCGGAGCCCAACTGACCTGGAGAGGGGAAATGCCTAACTCCAGCTCCCTAGAGCCATCCTGCCCCACCTGAGGGAGTAAGGACATGAACCGAGAAACCCCTGTGATGTTCACAGTCCAGAGGCACAGACTCAGGGAAGGACTGAGATCTAATCAAAGGGCTGTAGGATGCTTCCCCTCCCCCACACCTGACCACCGCCTTACTAAGGTCCCATTTACAGCATTTCCTTTTACCAGGTACATCACGTCGGGTTATCAGAAAAAGATTCCAAGGCATCCCTACAAAGCAAGAAGCACAGTGTGAAGAGAACAGAGCAAGCATCAGAACCAGACTCAGATAGGGCAGGGATGTTGGAATTATGAGACCGGGAATTTAAAACAATTATGATTGTCATGCTAAAGGTGCTAAAGGATAAAGTAGACAGCATGCAAGAGCAGATGGGCAATGTGAGCAGGGAGATGGAAATTCTAAGAACCAGAAAGGATAAAAAAAATGCTCTAACAGAAATGAAGAATGCCTTTGATGAGTTTACTAGTAGACTGGATACGGCTGAGGAAAGAAGCTCTGAGCTGGGGAAACACATCGATAAGATCTTCGTAAACTGAAAAACGCAGAGAACAAAGGTTGGGAAAAAAACAACATCTAAGGACCGTGGAACGGCTACGAAAGGTGGGATTAGCAGAAGGAGAAGAAAAAGAGAAAGCGACAGAAGAAATATTGGAAACAATAGTGATGGAGAGTCAGTGTGGACAGATCTGAGTCAAAAACCACAGAGGGGCCCAGGCGTACGGGGTCCCCGCACTTTTGCAAGTTTAATTAATGCCAGATTAATGAACGCCAGAGGCAAAACCACAAATCCAGGAAGCTCAAAGACATCAAGCAAAGATACAGGCCAAAAAAAATTTTTTTTAATTAAATAAAACTACATCTAGGCATATTATATTTAAATTGCAGAAAATCAAATGTAGGGGGAAATCCTGAAAGAAGTCAGAGGGAAAAATCCCCTTACCTCTGAAGGAGCAAAGATAAAGAACCACATCCAACTTCCCCTCAGAAACCATGCAAGCAAGAAGGGAGGAGAGTGAAATATTTAAAATGCTGAGAGAAAAAAACTCACCAAGCTAGAATTCTGTTCCATGCAAAATTATCCTTCAAGAT